GCGGGTTCTGATGAGAACAGTGTAAGCGTTCAAGCAAACCACTTCTGAAGATGCAAGCCACTCGTGCTTGCGAAACGTCAAGAAGAAATTCTACCCAACGACGGCCTAAAAACCCGAAAACCCCATTAGTTTCAAGGAATGGCCTCAAAAGTCTATCCCTTTTGATACACCGAATTTAGATTTCAACCATTTCTAAGTTGAAACTTCCAGGATGATGTTATGCTACCCAATCGAATTTTGCGGCAATATTGGAGGGCTCTACAAGAACATTCTCACACCGTAACGCGTGAATCAGAGCCGATCCCTAAATAGGTCATTCACTTGATCCTAATTTCAGATTGTCGGAAGTCAGTTTAGAAGAGATCCAGCCAATTCTACCGTTCGTTACACAAAGTGGGCAAATAATTTGACTCAAGAGCAATTAAATTTGCAGGTTTTTACATCGCATGGACCCACTGTTATTATGCCAACTTGGTTTTGTAATAGACGTGTCTTTGAAAGGTAATACGCGAGTCCCGCCTTGCACATGATTGAGTGATCCATCTTTACAGAATTGGAGGCTTTTGCGAATGCAAAAAAGGCTGCCCAGAAGATTTGGTGTTTTTTAACAAACACTTGAACATGGGTGGACAGATTTCCAGAGTTGACGAAATTTTATTAGTTTATACCTACCACACTGGCCAAGCGACATTTTCCGTAAACGAGTGAGTCGGCTAAAAAAACTAACATACGCAAAGCACTTCCTTATTATGATCTACATATCGTTTCTTATAACCAGAGAGACAATTTGGAACATTAGGGTGCAACGGTTGGAACAGACGATACTTGGAAAATATATAAAATTTACAATATGGAATGCAGGCAAGCAAGGACGAAAATTTTACAATTCGCTGTCGGAAGAAAACCGGGCGAAAGTCGTTGCGTTCTGTGATGTCGATGTGAACAAGATTGGCAAAAAATACAGATCATTTGATGAACATAGAAGGCGCTTCAATAATGAAGTGGATATTATTCACTTCCAGAAGGCTGTTCCGCCATTTGTTATATGTGTTAAAACCGTAAGGCATTGCAGTTTCGTTATTCTGTCCGTAGTGCATCCATTTTTTGTAGGACTTAACGGATGGAGCGTTTGAAAACAATCTGCAAATGTTGAATTTGAAAGAGGGCGATGATTATGTGATGTTCAGCTGAATAACTTGATTTTAACAAGACTTTTCCTATTGGTCTTTTGCTCGATTTTCCTGAAAATTTTAGCTTTTGAAGCTTGATATGTTATGATGGTAAAGTCTACTCAAGTGTATTTTCTAGAGAAATTTATGAACAGTGCGAGATTTTTCTTGAGAACTGTTTTTAACACAGCTTTAATTCAGGAGGGGGTTA